AGAGATGATAGCATTTCCCCTGTTTCAAGGAAGGTACTTATGCTCAGTTCATAGGCAGTCACTAGGTTAGAATAAACTGTAGAACGAGCTCGGATACCTGGCATGTGGATATCATCAGCATTGAACTGGCAGGTCGGGCACTTTTTGACATAGTCCTGTGCGTCTTCGACCATAGTGGGCCAGTAATAACCATGCCTCAGTAGTTTCCGAGCCAAAGTTCTGCCACCGATGTGCGTGCAGCGTAATAGGGGCATTGAGGCTGCTCGCTTGTAGAGCTGGTTATCTAACATAGTGAAATGGGCCGCCCTGCGTTTAATCACCTTTGCAGCGGACTGGTCTTCAGGTAGCTCGCCACTTTGTAGATAATTCATAAGCGGGGTGGTCCAGCTCGGTGTGGAGGGGTCTGTACTCAAGAATTGGCACTCGACTGTGAAATCAATGTAGCTCGGTGCGTCAAGCACCTCGACGATTGTTGATCTTTGAGGGTTAACGTCCTGCGAGGAAGCCAACTTTGACAGCTCGTCAGCTCGCTGGTTATCTGTCCGCGGTATTTTGTCGATCTGAAACGAAGCGAACTTGGACTTCAATCTGTTGACCATAGAGGCATAACAACCGAGCTGGGGATCCCTGATGTCGCAACTGCCATTCACCTGGCGAACGACGAGCTGAGAGTCACTGAAGACCTGAATGCTTTGTACCTTCAGCTCGGTCGCTAACTTCAATCCATATATGAGGGCTTCATATTCTGCAGCATTATTGGTTGTCTGAAACTTAAACCTCAGCGCGTGCTCAGACTTGCAACCATCAGGGCCTAGTAACACAGCTCCAGCACCAGATCCTTCGACATTAGCAGCTCCATCTACATACAAAACCCAAAGTGGGTGTTCAGGTGCCTTTTCTTTCACAGCCACCGGGGTACATTCAACTAGGAAGTCTGCCACAGCTTGGCCTTTTATAGTCGTGCGCGGCTGAAACTTAAGGTCATATTCACTCAATTCGACACTCCATCCGATGAGCCGACCAGAGAGCTCTGGCTTCTGCAGTATTTTCCTTAGCGGGAAATCAGTATAAACAACAATCTGGTGTGATTGGAAGTAGGCTCTTAACTTACGAGCTGTGTAAACCAGGGCAAAAGCAGCTTTTTCCGCTAGTGGGTAGTTCTGCTCGGCGCCCTGTAAGACTTTGCTTACATAACAGATAGGCTTCTGGTTCTTATTCTCTTCCCTGAGTAGGACCGAGCTAATCGCCTCTGCTGTGACCCCTAAATACAAATACAAGCTTTCCCCCTCCACTGGCTTGGACAGCAAGGGCGCTGATGCCAAGTATAGTTTGAGCTCGTCAAAGGCCTGTTGACACGCATCAGTCCATTGAAAGTTCTTGGGCTCTCGTAGGGCCTTGAAGAACGGAAGGCATCTTTCTGCCGACCTGGCTATAAACCTGTGCAGCGCAGCAACACGGCCTGTCAAACGCTGCACGTCTTTGACAGTCCTTGGCGGTTCCATCTGCTGAACGGCCTCAACCTTCTCTGGGTTTACTTCAATT